GGGGGGGGGGGGGGGAGAGAGCTGGTAAACCTCAACCAACAAAACAATAGTAAACCTGGGTATAAAAGTGTCAATAATTTTCTCTTCATTTGAAAACAAATTACTTCTCTTCCTAACTTATACAGAAACAATAAGAATGAAAATTACACTAAGCAGGGGTATGTAATGCAGTTTCCTCTTCAGTTGTGAAATTTGCGGCAAAATTGGATCAGGTCACTATATGAAATCTATTGCTATTAGTGTTACCACTGTCTGTCAAGTATCATTACAAAGAAATTTGATGGTAGATATAATTCTTTCAAAGATCCAAGAATCATAATATTTGAATTTGTCATTACATTGTTACATTTCACCAGTTTGTAAAAAGCTTCAGGAAACTATTGTTTGTAATCTGAATTTCTTTTCAGCACTGTGAAATTGGCTCGTTTACTGATGCTGACATACCGCTAGTGTTCTGTTCACGACACTTGGCGTCTGTGTTTCTGCTAACGGGGGCAGTAGGGTATACAATGCCAGACTCCTGTGTACGAGTTAGCAGCAAGGCTCTTGCCCTACATTGCTTGACAGCATGTTTGAGACTCTGTCCTCGTCTGTTTTTTCTTCCTTTGGACCGGCGTTGTTCTGTTAAAGAACATGGCAGCTTAGAAAGTAATTATAATATAGTTATCTATATATGTATTGTGACAATTATTGTAATTAAATGGTGCAATATTTATTAATTTAAGAGTTATTTTAGGAGTTCAATGTTGTAAATCTATATTAATGATATCATATTTTCCTTATATCATAGACGACTTCATTTTCATTTTACGATAATAATTTTGTACACGGTGCTAACAGGTGAACATCAAAGTTTGAGTGATGTTCTTTTGTATGCCAAACACTCTGATCCTCAACTAAGAGGAATTACTAGTCTTCTTGTTGGCAATTTGCTGCAATCGGTGTTGATCCAAAGTGGAGGTCATTTCTCAAGATGGAAGTCACGACAAATTGAAGCAAGTTCTATTACTTTGCAAACATTGATTGGGGTTCTTTTGAAGGTAAGTATATAATGAATGTTTATTTAATCAAGCCCTTCTTATTTTAATTTGATGAAGAAATTGAAGTAAACCACAGTAATTTGGGTTATTCTTTTCTTGCCTCTGCATAATGTTTTCTTCTATATTGTTTTGTCTGTCTGGCTGTTGTAATGTTGATAAAATCTTTTAAAAGCAATTCTACTTGGGACTTCAACATTATATGCAGCTATTATGAATTGAAATATTGCGTTTTGTTAATAGGGCCTTGGTGATCCGTCCTCTTTGTGCAGCCGCCATACTCTGGGTGCATTGGCACTCTGCCTGCCTGAATTGTTAGAAAGTGTGGATAGTGTTGCTGTAGAATGCATCATTCAAGTATTGCCGAATTTAGCCAATAATCCATATTGGTTAGTCAAGGTATTAAAATAATAATTTTTTTGTTTTGTTTTTAATGATTGCATTATTTACTCATTTTTGATCAGTGTTACTGTGAGATGAAAGAAGTTTGATGTTGGTTTTTATTATTGTGCTTTATGATTATTAATACTTAACATATTTTATTATTAAGCTATGTACTAAGAGCTTGTTTACTAAATGCTAGAGGATAAATGTTTTTGTTTTTTAGGTGAAACTTATAGAAGTGCTTAGTGAGTTACCTTATCTTGCCATCTATCGACTTACCAAAGGCTCAGAATTCCAAGATAAAATTCTTCAAGATGTTCTGATGATCTTATTGAGTGATGAAGACGCAAGAGTGCGTCATGCTGCTGCAAAAGCTTGTGTCAGGTAAATGATTTAATGATTCTTTCCTATTGCCTTCTCAAAATTTTATTTTCAAAATTAATTAAATCTAGTAAATCATTTTTGTAATATAACCAAATGTGTTAGCACTTAATCTCATAGCCCAAATCTCACTTAGATGTGAATGAGAAGTCACAGCTCCTCTCATTGTGACTACTTTCTGTTTTCTGAGGAGAAGATGAAGAGCTTCTTCAAATGCTGACTATTCACAAAATAATAACGATGTGCGTGTGTGTTTGTGTGTGTATATGTGGGTGGGGGAGGGTCCCAATAGTGCAGGAGATTCAAGGACTGTTTATATATATTATATATAAGCATACAGATATATTTAATGGTATTCGGCAGGCATATAACAAATTAATACATTTCAGAAATACACTGCACTTTCCTATAAGGCATGATTTCTCTTGCGTATACATTGGAATTTTATTAATATATTTTTCAAAGGACCAAAAATTTTGAATGCCATAGGCCAGAAAATATGCTAATGAAAAATGCTCAACGTGTACCTACTTTTCACATGTTCATCTGCAAATCACTGCAATAGAGAAAACACAGTTATGTAAATAGCAAGCCAACATCCACCAGATATTGAGGTTACTAATGTATTCATAAATGACATTGAATAAAACTAAAGTACACACACAAAAAAGAATTCAAAGTAATGCACATTAAGGTCTATCGCCTAGTGGGAGTTGCACATTAAAAGCATTTACTAGGCTGTCCGAGTGACGCCGCGTCCATGGCGAAGGTGCCACTTTTCGATGGGTACCTTCGCCATGGACGCGGCGTCACCCGGACAGCCTAGTAAATACTGACTCCGGCCATGGAAGCCTACGCTCTCACATTAAAAGCAAGAAAACACATGTCGTCTTGACTCATGATGTAGCTTGTGCATCTTGTGTAGTTGTGGGTAAAACACACATTACCAAAGGCACCGTATGCTGTTTTGCATAAGATACAGTGTTCATCTATGATGAGCGTAAGTGAATCATGAGAATATGCAGCGACGCAGCTGATGTCATCATTAAGTGATGCGTGTCAACATAACTCTCGTGTGACACAGGCCTGGAGGAAGGGGAGAAGAAGAAGAAAAATTGGCATGGAGGGTACAGCGAAATACATTTCTCTGGATGTGGAATCAAAGTGAAAGTAGTACCCAAAGGTACCAAAGCTGGTGAAAACAATGATGGTAGTGGTGTGACGGAAAACTTGTCTTTTGGGAAGCAAATTACCTACACGAACTTTGAGCGTGCTAAGCGAAATTATTAAATGTGTAAACAAATAATTTGATGGTATTGGGATCAGGACTTGAAAATATAAACATACCATGTGGGAAAGTGCTATCAAGACTCCACTGTAATTAGGAAGTAGATTTGGTGACAGTAAATCCTTCTCAAAGGGAGTGTAAAATTTGAAGCTTTTGAGATATTGTTGGATCCAAATTTCTGCTCACAAAGATTAAAAATAAGACCCTTTAAATTTGTTTTCAAACAAGACATCACAAGACAAAGGAGCAACAGAGTTTATTCTTTAGAATCTAAACTTCTTAAACCTATACAAGGACAAAATAGATCATAAGACACATTTCAAAATAATGACCTGGGGCTTGGGAAGTTTAAATAATAAAGAAAAAAGTAAAACGATAAAGAGTTAGAGACATAGGAATAGCAATTATTAATGAAACCAAAGAGAAAAACAAGGAATTGGAAGAATTAAAAGAACACCTGATGATATACTCTGGTTTGAATGAAAAAGATCATGCAGCTGAAGAAATAGCAGTGTTAATAAAAAGAGAAATAATGACCCAACATTGAGGATTAAAAGTTCATTTCAGCAAGTTCTAACAGTGAAACTAGAAATACAAAAAAGAAGATTTACAGTAAAACTTCACTTGTACGTATTTCAGGGGACTGAAGGGAAAAAATGTATAAGTGAGAAAACGTAAAACTGTAATTCAATATCATGAGCAAAAAAAAACAACATTATTTTTACATCGACACGCTCCACTCATGGGCCAATGATAGTTTTTCTTTATTTAGACAATTAATAGTAAATACTGTAAGTGATGTATTGGAGCAGAAGTAACATCAGCAAATATTTTCTTGATCTCCAGAATCTCTTCTCAAGATTTGAACTAGAAATAGTTAAAATGAGTATAGCTATAGAAATAGTTAAAATATCACTTATTGGTCACCTGTATTGTTTTGCCTGTTATACAGTCTTAAAGGGACTTGCATTGTGAATGATTATTGAGAAAAACATAAACATAAAACACACATCTGAAATAATTTAGCAAGGGAAGTATAGGAATTTATCCTGAACCTACAGAAAACAATGTATAAACATGAAAAACTAAGTGTGAAATGTATAAACGGAATTTCACTGTGATAATAGTGGAAGTATATGCCCCAGTAGAAGGAAAACCAGAGGCAACAGAAATTTTCTGTTGCCATCTCTAAGTGATGAATATTTCCAAAGAAAGTAACCTTGAATTGATAGCAAGAGATATTTAATGCAGGAGTAGAGATAGAAGAAACATATGATTGCAAAGGAAAGAATGGAGAAGAACACACAAACAGAGATGGAGAAGAATTAATATGTTTGCATTTTCAATGAATTACAAATAACAAGCACTTATTTTAAAAACAAAGTCAAACATAAAATACAGGAGAAAGACTGTTCCAAATCATTTGTAGTTTATATTATTGTTAATGCAAATGAAATATACGAAATCAAAGAAATGATATATGTGTGATATAATGAAAAGGAAGACACCTGAACTAAAACTAAAAGTTCATCTTCTTCATGTAGAAGAATTAGAAAAAATACAAGATTCAGAGAAAAACTGCTCATCCTAGAATGAGAAAGTATTAAGTCACTCTGGGAATCCCTCCAAGTGGCAATTATAGGATACACTATCAGAAAGTTTGGGCTACAGCTGAGCAAAAAACCAAAAAAAGAAGAAACAGGCATATCAAGTGTGTGTATATCAATGACAGAAGCACATACAAAATACAAATTATTGAGAAACAGAGATACGAAACTATCTTTCAAGACTAATGGGATGTCTTTCAAAGCATTTGATTTTGTTCTTTTCTTCCTCATAAATTCACTGAATTTGTTAGTGCCGCAGTGGTCAGTCTGTAAATACATCACAACACAATTAACTGCAACAAGGAATCCAATTTTATTATACTTGAGCTTCATTCTTGACTTCATTAGACGCACTCACACAAATCATTTATTTCTGTAACGTACTGCTGTGAAATACAAAAGATTCAACCTTTGGGGCAGTGATTAACTAGAGTCAGAATCTAGTGACCCCTTCCTTTTTGTGAGTACTGTGAGATGCGCGTCACTATATGATAGCCAGTGTCACTAACCGAATGGCAGGTTCGTAGTGGGGTCGAGGAACCTCAGGATCTTATGTCCCCAAGTCCCTGTCCGAAGGGATAAAAGGCACTGACTGACTGCAATGTGTCACGATTTTGCAGAGATAATATCGGAGGATTTTTTCATTGCAAGTGCTTAAAACCCAACAACAGTTCAGAGATGTGTTGCGTCAACCAAGATGCAACAAAATAAAAAATTTAAAAAAAATAGATGGTTGACTGTGCTCCTGTCCTCCATTTGCTTGCAGTGCTCCTGGCAGGTTGTCTTCATGTGGTCATTGCCTATGCTTTGCCTTTTTTATGCCTTCGGGTAGCTGCTTAGAGTGAATTACCAAGCATTGTTCATTTTCTTACATCAGATTTGTAGTTAATGCAAGAAAATTATGATTCAATAGAGAAAAATAAATCATATATGCACAATGAACACATATGCAATATGCCATTGCATTTGAAAATTGTTGTAGTGCAGGCATGTTACATTATTGGGGAGCTGCCACTGGAGAATGCAGTACATAATTTGAACCTTAAAGGGAAAAAAATTGAATCTAATGATTCTGTGAACTAGAAATAATAAGAACTGGATAGAATTAAAGGTGTTCAGGCAACAGAGCTAACCAAAATTTGTGTAATTTTGTTTGGCCAGAAAAGTTTTGGTTTATCCATTCTCAGTTGGTTTGTATATTTTTTGCTACTTTCTAGTTAAAAACTGGGTTTGCACTACAATCTCCAAACCTCTTCAATTATCACAGGTAATTTCACTAGAGCATTGGAAATGTCCAATAAATTTTTAAGTTGCCTATCAACAAGAAAATGTACCCGGAAATTTCCAATGTAAAGTGGTTGTTAATAAGACTATTTCATGAAGGAAATTGTGTCAATGTGAGTTTTAGGAAATCTCAAGTAGTAATTACTTTAATGAAACTTGCACTTTCAGTGCAAATCATCATACTTAATCTTAATTGGTTCGTACAAATATGTTCTTAAATTCTTGTGGTGTTAATTTTATGAGTGGAATATTCAGGCTAAGATAGTTTAAACTTTTTAAAATTATCAGATGTATGTCTTACCAAGTGATTTCCTTTGTAAGTTAAACCATTAATGTGTCAGTCACTCTTCACTAAGTTCTTTAAGTTTTAAGGTCTTGGACTTGATTTGCTTCTACTTTTGCAGCTACTTTCTTTTACTTTTGCAGCCTTTTTTATTTTCTCTCCCAGTTATGTGTAACAGCTTGCCAGGAGGGTCTCTCCGCAGTAACACCTTGCTGTTGATTGAGCTAGCAATAGAAATTATGTTGGTAACATGAGCTGCAACTTGTAACAAAAGAAAACTTAAATACCACACTCACCACGATCATAAAAAGGCAACTCCACATATTCAGTATTTGCTGAACAGCATGCTACTGCTTGCCCAATCACGAACATATGATGTGTTTGGGGAATGTTTGCTTCCTTTGATGTGTCTTAAAGACCGTCATGGTGTGGGTAGGGCAAATACCGAGTGTTCGGTGCTCGGTGAATCACGAGCAACCTGTCCACACTACTCGGGATTCAGTGAGCGGTTACTTAGGATCGCCGAATGCCGCATATGTGGAGGCACCTAAAGATGCTGAAAGTGTCCCATTTACTTGCTTCCCAGTAATCTGGTTGCTAACAACATCAATGCAGTTTTGAATAGGAGGCATTGACATGGCACAGTGCGGAGAGATTTCCTTGCGCACAATAGTAAATGGATGATGAAATTTGCTATTTTTGAACTTTTGCAGGGTTGTTCCGCATTTCTTCTTTCCTACTGACCATCCACAACAGGACTCTGTGACAGCAAGAGGAATTCAGCATAGCACCAAGTTTATTTCTCAGCTTCTGAACCCTGCATTCAATCCTGAGGAAATTTGTGGTACATCGTGTTCCCTGCAGCATCCTAACATCAACAGTCTACCAGCTCCTTTCAATGTATTCAGTAATACAAGTACCCCCAGTCAGATGTGTCCAACTCTGGAAGCTACTCTTTCTCGATTGGTGAATCTCTTGGTCCAAGCCCTGTTGACATCATCTTCAAAGTACCTTGTGGTGAGTTTCATAATTTTGATAAAGGAATTCACATAGAAAAATGAATTTAACAAATAAATATTCAAATATTGTTTTGGAAGCTGGTGTTGCTCCTAAAATCACCCTTTTGTTTTGTTGGTGATGTTTAGATGATTAATGAAATAAGTAAATATTAAAAATACATTTTCCTCTACTAAACGATTTTATGAAAAGTACATTTTTGTTTTTATTTATTCCTTTAGTATGGAAGTTGTGAAGCACTAAGTTTGTTATCTGACCAATATCTTACAACTCTACATCCTCGAGCATGGAACTGTTTTATAGCATCACAATCAAAATTTAAAAAGAGCAGTAAACGGTCATCAAGTAGTGGTCTTGCACAAAGCAGTCAAGAATGCCTAGCAAGTCCTGCTGCTGGCCTGCTAAGTATTAGTCTTTCCCTGCTCACAGCATCACCTATTCCTCTTGATCTGAGCTGTCAGTGCTGGTTAGTGAGTCTATCTGGAAATCTCTTCTCTGGTGAGTATTATTGATTCAACTGAGAATTACAATTTAATGCACAAGGACATCGCATATGGATGTGTATGTATATTGGAAATGAAAGGGTGTGGTGTTTGTATTTGTGTGCATGCTTGCATGTGTGTCTTCATTCATGCATTCATTCACACGCATACGTTTGAGTTATACAAAGTATACAAAAAAGACATAATTTGTTCTGTATGTAGTTTTTCAGATTTATGCACATCATACACTAAACTTATGCGTCTATAGAAGCATGAATCCTGGTTTTAAGAACTTAGTAATTTCTGGGTTTTGAATGATTGTAATGTGTATTACAGGATCCATTCTCTTTGCCATAATCTGCAAACTCCTATTTTTTCATCTTGAATCTGTTTGATACTAGGCTGGGGATAATTTCTTATTCAGTAGCAGCACCCTTACAGGGTTTTGTGTCAGTGGTTTCATAAAAATTATTAAAAAATGTGTATTCTTTATGCACTATATATAGAGAGCATTAATCTGCAAGATTTCAAGTATTAATGAGCACATAATAATATTGCTCTGTCAGAATTCCTAGTGAAACAAATGTTTAGTATTATTTTTTATTTTTGAAACTTTTTTATCAACATTGACATGTATTTTTATTTCTTTTTAGTCTGTTGTTAGGCATTGGGTTCATTCACTCATACTATTTTTCTGGTTGGGCATCACCTGCCCAGAAAAATGTTTTAAAATTATGTAATATAATGAAAAAATAAGATCATTATCAAACACTAAAGAATGGAGAATACTAAAGCTCAATTATATTTATTTTAAAAATAATCTTAACACAATAATGTGCTTGGTGTGGATTGAACAAAGCAACTTTTTGGAGGGAAATGCAGAACCGGGACAAAAGGCGACATGTCACCTACCATAAGCAAATCATTCCCAGTTTTGTTCCCTTACCTAGACTTAAGTTACCCACCTTGGCATATTCCCTGTTATGTGGAATTACCCAATGTCTCCATTCTGTGAGCGACATATCCCTTCGCCTTTCAGGACAAGCTGGGGTGAATGCAGGGTTTTGTAGTGGAAACGCCTGGTGTACCAACCAAGGCAACAGATAGAAAATCATATCTGTTTTGCTGAAGGTGCTTGCTAGGAAGAAGACCTTTCCTTTACACGTGAAAGCAGCTGAAAATCTGCTCTCAACAAAAACAATTTAGCTCTCAACAAACTATTTGCTAAAAAATCAGAAAAGTACTTTGAGTAAAATAGATATGTACAAGCAGAGGGTTTGCATTGATTATTTTACAGTACACATTTAAAAATTTGATTGATTTTTTCAATGCATATGAAGCAATATATGCATTGATTTACCCCTGTGTCCCCCAAACATTAAACAAGCTGCATCTCAATAAAAATAATTGTAGATTTTGATTCTGTCTTACTCACCCCTTGAGTTGATTAATTATTGTTGTTATCATCTGTATTATTATTGATCAAGCCGATCTGATGGCCAAGATCGCTAAGGCAGTAGTGCCGTAGCGATCTCGTACCGAAAGATCGCGGGTTCAAGTCCCGCCTTGGGCATGGTTGTATTGTGTTCGTCCTTTCACCCCCTATCATCCATCATCCTCCATCTCTCATTATCACCTTTCTGAATAACATTCAGAATTGTAACTCGAGGATTTATCCTCACCTCAAGGTGAAAACCTTCGACAGTCGTCCATGAACAGTAAGAAAGTGAAGTGGAATGACTCAAGTGGTCCAATGTGGCCAATCAAGTTAATAATAATTATTGATCAAGTATTGTTAACTACTTTCCAAAAATATATTTTTCCATTCAAAATTTAACATGAGTTATTTTGAGCACACGAGTAACAAAAATAATTCAGAAGTGATGAAAAACTACCAAGTTTATTAGCATTTGAATATATTAAATTGTATGTAAGAAACAGTCTAATGTAAACATTTAAAGTAATGCTTAATTATTTAGTACAGACAAAAATTTGAATGTTAAAAATGAAATTAAACATGCTCTCCGTTCATGTATTGTTCATTTTCAGGACTAGCTGTCTGGTCATTGAGACCTATTGATACGTCCCAAAATGAGACTGACAATCAAAAAGCTATGTGGAATATTCTTAGAGATAAACAGGTATTTACAACCATTGGCATGTCATTTATTTGCACATAATTAATTAGTAGTATTTCATATTTAAATGAAAAATGTTTATGCTCTCCCTAGCCATAGAATAATTTCAAAGATTGAGATTTTGAATCATTAAATTACGGTTTCTGGAATTATTGTGTAAGTGTTTCTTGACTTTATTATGTCTAATTCTGGAATGTTCACAGTTGAAAATATGCTCTTGACAACTCACTTTTATGATTGTATTTCAGTCCCTGTTGTCAATTTCAACCTGCACATATACATCTTGTGTTCTTTGATAAAGCTGTACATGTATGAACAAATAGCATACAATTTTAATATGGTATTAAGTCTTATTTAACTCTTCTATGTTAATCTCTTTATTACAGTTGGTGTGTGCTGCAGAACAGCTTTTAATCCATCTTATTCGCACACTTAATGTGTTTGTTCATGTTTTGGAGGAGACATCTCCAGTAGTGCCTACTCCTAAACCATCTTTGCCTTCTCTGCCAACTGCTCCTTCATTGTCACCGATCAAACGCAAAAGTAAAAATGTGGGAGCAGGTACGGAAGTTCCTGTGGGAACAGAGAACCGTCCACGTGGAGTATCACCTGTCAAGAGTTCTGCAGGTAGAGAAATTACATTTGCTACTAATTACAAATTACAAATATTGAATTAAAAATTCTACTGCTACAAGAAGGAGAAAGAAAAAAATGGAAAAAAAATGGTTCTATTGGGATTGCCAAGTTTTTAATCATAGAGTAATTACATTTCAGATGCTTTAACTATCTGAAACATCTTATTTCTCTACTCCCATTACAAAATGTGTATATATAGGTTCAGAAAACTTCTACTTTCTCAGTTATATTTCATTGTTTTCAGAGAAAGAAGAAAAACTGGATGAAAAACGTGGCAGCACGGGCAGCAGTACAAGTGCAAGCAGTAATCGGGGCACATCCATTGGCTTTTTTGCCAATTGCCCTCATTATATGAAAGTTTATGAAGTTGTTCGAAGTGCCTACACCAATTATAAAGTAAAAATGCCATCAAATTTCAACATACACATACATTGTACAAAATATACTTATATTTACTATGAAATCTCAGTATAATGGACATCAGTTTTAATTATTTTTCAAATCCTCGTTGATGTTCACTGATGTTTTACAATGCAAAGATATTTCACACTTTTGCAAACTCGCTAAACAAGTCCATTTCATTAATATGTACAAAAATGTATGTGTTAAAATATCTCTTTTGTAGTTTTATTTTTAATTAATCTATTATTTGCATTGTTATGTAATTTGTATTTAGTATCAATTTCCATTTTCCTTGGTGTTCCTGAATATCGTGTTTAAAGTGTAGCATCTTTCATTGCTACTTTTTGGTTTGCACACATTGTTTGTGCTGGCACAGATTCGTCTAGAGCCAGTCAACTGTGTCAGGCAGTGTACAGCTAATGATAACTTCGCTCAATCAATAATAAATTTGCATGTGAAGCAAGTTGTTGGTTCACGAGTAGTATTTTGGAGAACAAATTGTACAAAACCTTTTCTAAAATTTCTTATTTTCCTCCTATTGCAATGGAAGTAATGAAGAGAAAGCAAATCACAATAGAACAGAAAGTGTAGATAATAAAAAAGATGCAAAATAAAAGAGGTTGCCTTTAACCAAGGAGGTCTGGGTTCAATATCCGGACAGTGTCGTGTGAAATTTGTTCCAACAAAATGACTTCGCCTACTTCACAGGGGCTAGTCCAATCCCTGACAAGTGACCTAAACCCTACCCCTGACTAATTCCTTCCAAATTCCGAAGCAGCTCATGAAGTAGATGACGCGCATACATGGAGGCGCACTATGACTGTGACTCACTGTGATTAATGAAGGCTTACTCCCTAAGTGCTCAATGCTCAACAAGGGGCTTGGAGACGTGTTGCGTCAATAATAATGTAGCAAATAATAACAATATAGGTGTTGTGGTAAGATATCTTTGGCATTTTTAAAATAATTAAAGATGTTGTCATTGCCAACAATGTTTTTTAATTCAATAGCAGTAGTCGTTTTGTGGCTTCCATCTAGCAGACAACTAATAATGATGGCTAAGCCATCGAAAGCTGCTATTGAATTAAAAAACATTGTTGGCAATGACAACATCTTTAATTATTTTAAATAATAACAATTTAAAAAAATACATTAATAGTTTTCAGCAAATTTTAATACTTTATTCAGTTGATAATGTTAATAACAAATGCCATTGCATCAATAGAAACTATGAATTCAAACACATTTTCTTCCTCATGATAAGAAACTTAATTTAACCTAAAAAGAAATCCAATTTAATTTAAGAATAATAGTTCTGTAGTGGAAGTACACCCAAACCCCTAAATTTCCATTGCCACACCTACAGCAATAACTCTACACTTAAGTAAGACAAATTTTATGTTCATTATTATCAAAACAACTTGGTTCTCACTGCTTAACTCAATGTAGTAAAGGTATACGATCACTAATGCACTATCTCTTGTGAATGTGTATGTTTTGAAAAACTTGTATATAATGATCCTCTTTCACGGAAACCGGGTCAGTCAAACTGTTTTATAAACAGGGATGGTGTATTTTCACTGAAACTTACTCTTCCATTATAATATGTGTAGGAAGAACCAAGAAATGTATAATGTGAAAAATCAATATATCCTTTACAGATTACATTGGATGCATCAGCTAGTGAAAAATTTGTAGGCTTACTGAGAACAACTTTGGAAGCCTTGTCACAGTTATTGGAAGTGGCCACAATTAATGAAGTAGGGCGAGTTGCTGAAGAAACCCTTGCTTATCTGCGACTGACTGTCCTTGTGGAACCTACTGCTACTGTCAAATGTGTACAACAAGTATGATTCATTTGTCTGTTTTTTTTTTTTTTGTGCTTAGATATAATTTCCAACTATGTCTGATGTATGATGTTTTTGTAGTAAAAATAGCTTATTGACATTTGATTCTGATTTTTGCATACACAGCTTCTGAAATGCCTGTTCGGGACAAATCTTAGTGCTCAGTGGGATGAAGCTGAAGAGAAAAGACTCAGTTCTTTGGTTACATCGCCTTCTCCACGTTTAGAACCAGAGGGTTTCTATAGTCAATGTTTCCATCTTCCCTATCAGCAGCTAACAGAACATTTGGCCACATCTGCTGGTCGCCATGATATGCGAATGGATTCTCGAGATGATCGAACCATGTAAGTGGAACAATTGTTTTGCTTTTCTGAAGTATTTCTGAATGTAGAAAATTATGTAATGTTTGTGCTTTAATTTCTTTATCGTCTGTTCTATTTAATAATGATCATGGATCATTTGCTACATTAATTGAATCTTAAGAGACTAAAATGTTATGGGGGACCAGCATTTCATTACACAATAGAACCCCTTTTCAACACATTTTAAGAGACCGCTGGTAGTTTTAGAGTTGTGAACTCCCCATGTTACTTACATAAAAGTGTATTCAGTACTAAAATAGCAAAATCGTAAATGTAGTGAACATTTATCTAATTACATGTAACTGGTGATTCATCAGCAATATGTAAAACTTCTTGCTAAAAATTCTAGCAACCTGCAATACATTTGTATTTTGTTTTTCTAGATTAAAACTATTTTCATGTTATTAATGATGATACCTTACCTTTGTCACACCTGGAACAATTGTGACTTTACCATGTGGTAAATGGTTACATATGAGTGCTAAGTAGAGCCCACTAGACAAACTAATAAACCCACTAGACAAACGCTTCAAGATCCGCAGCCAAATACATTATTCTCCTTTGCATTTATAAAATCAATGTAAATTAAGTGTGAGCAATATGAAATTTTAATTTTACAAATGTGAAAGTGAAAATAATTGTACTTTATGCACTTCTGAAGATTGAAGAGATTGCAAAAAATCTGTTTATTTCTCCTGTTACATCATTGTGCATGTATTTTGTCCTGCTCTTTTACTTTTTTCAATTTCCTGAATTTGATAATTTCTAGTGACGTTATTTGTGAAACCTGTAGATAAAACTTAAAACTGAAGCAAGTCTTTGAAACAAAAATGCTGTAAAGATTGCGCTTCCTTAAAATTTTCTGAGTAATGTGATTTTTTTTTTTTTCCAGATTTCGCTATTCAGTGCAATATTAACATTTTTTTATTGATTATTTTTAAATGTTTTGGATCCTTAAAATCGAAAAATAGATTCAGAATTTTTTTTTCTGTTAAGTATTAATGACATATGCATAAAATTAAAACAATTAAATTAACCGTTTATCATTATTTATTTTGAGCAGTAATTGTTCATAGTAATAATTTCCAATAGTGTTTTATAGGAATAGTGAGGTTTTGCAACTCTTCATTTCTATTGTGATCAGGTGGAATCATTTGCGCAGAAAAACTGATAGAAAGGGATCATCGATGATCAGGAGCAGTTTCACCAGAGGAGCTGACAAAGCATCTCTTGCGGCCTACATTCGTTTGTTTGAACCAATGGTCATAAAGGCTTTGAAAGTATGTATAAGTGAGAAATATTAGCATGTGATTCTGATTTGTAAAATAATTAATAATGAACCTCTTTTCTTTTCTTTGTGTTTTTAACCTAATTGACATATATTCATTAAGGCTGATTACTATTAATCTTGAAAAATTTCTTTTAAAGAAGATAGAATTGTTCTGCATGTTAGATTTTACAGCAGAATGCAGTTTCTCTTTTGTTGCATGCAAAAATTGTGATCTCAAAACACTGCTTATGTCTGAAATTTTCAAAGACATTGTGTTATGGTTGTAAGGAGCAAGGTATAATTATCACCTCTGGGAATTACCTTTAACAATTATTTCTCTTATTACTACATTATTGTTATTTATATTATCATCATTATTGATTATTTTTATTGTTATCAATTTTATTTTTGAAATCTATTTTTAAAACTTCTATTATTTTTGTGATTTTCATCTTCCGTTATCTCAATGCTTATATCTTCTATGCTTTTTTTTATTTAAAGATCTAATCTGTTCATACCATTCTGCAGATGTGAGTTTGTTCCTTATTAACAGAACCCAGATTTTGAGGTTTTTAACATCAATTTGGGAATTACGTTGTTTTTTTTATTGATGTAAATGATGTAAGGACAGGTAATGTCATAATTTTGATGGTCACAGTCTTAATTGAAACCGAAAGTGTGATTATATCAATTGTGACAATTAAAGAGCATATTGTACTATATAGCTATGAATCTTCACCAACAAATTGTATAGGTCTGAAATATGACATTTAATTAAGTCACTGCTTTTTTTCTTTCTTTTAACAAAATCTTAAAAGTATCTTGAGAATGTTATTTGCTTAAATTGCTATTATTTTAGAATTTAAATTAGTTTAATTTTTTGAAAATGTAGGTACAGTGTAAGCTTTAATTGCTGTTTTCTCACATTGTATCTTGCCATAGCTCATTTTATTGAATGAAAGGTACTCTTTCTATGCCTAGGTAAAAAAGTTTTAAAACAAACAAAACATCTCTTTTTGAAAATTACATTTTTTTAAAATTGCAATTGAAATACCACTATGATGTGTTAAAATTATTTTGAAACAAAGATTAAATTGCTTAATGTTGCCTGCATTTTTTTACTGAAAAGAATTGGAACAAGTAATTCAGAAACAATAAATTAAAGAATGTTGTGCAGCACAGCGATTTTTCCATTTCTGCACTTGCTGCTTGTGTTACCACATGCCAGGGATTGTAAGGAACTGTAGCACCTTGGAAAGTTTAGTTACTTTTTACTTTCCTGCATACATACGTATAAACAGAGTAATATACATAGTATAGGGAAAGTTATGTAATGCTGCACAAATAAATGGTGGATTTCCACCGGAACAAAATTCCTTGCCAGGCCCTGATAATGAAAGAGTAAATAAATCCAGTTGCTAAATTAAGAAAAAAAATCCTCTAACATGGGGTGTAGCCAGAATTCCTGTTCTTCTCCTCTCTCTCCCTCCTCTCCTCCTCTCTCTCCTCTCTCTCTCCTCTCTCTCTCTCTCTCCTCTCTCTCTCTCTCTCTCTCCTCTCTCTCCTCTCTCTCCTCTCTCTCCTCTCTCCTCCCCCTCTCCTCTCTCTCTCACCTCTCTCCTCTCTCTCTCACCTCTCTCCTCTCTCTCTCACCTCTCTCTCCTACCTCTCTCCTCTCTCTCCTCTCTCCTACCTCTCTCCTCTCTCTCTCACCTCTCTCTCCTCTCTCTCTCAACTCTCTCCTCTCTCTCACCTCTCTCCTCTCTCTCACACCTCTCTCTCTCTCTCCTCTCTCTCCTCCCTCCTCTCTCTCCTCTCTCTCTCCTCTCTTTTTTTCTTTTTTTTCTTTTTTTTCTTTCTTTCTTTCTTTCTTTCAAAACTTACCCAAATGTAATTTTTTGAAAGATTTCTAATGCCGTTAATATGCACATTTCTAGCAATTTGCTCTAGCTATTGTATTTGTGAGTCATACTATTTCAAATTACTTCTAATGAAGTTTTTCAAAATCTCAAAAATGTTCTGTGAAAAAGTTTCAAATTTTGAATTTACAGATGCCAAACACCATTTTCTTAAAAACTGCTCCAAATGTTTCAATGAAAATTGCCATTTAGGATCAGGTTTTCCTGTTTTTATTATTCATTAAATAATATTTTCCGTTCTATTAGGAAACCAAAAAATGAAGAAAATGTTTAAAAAATGTACTTTGGGTGTCTATATATGGCAGCTGGCAAGAGAATATGACAAGTTTGTATAGCTAGACGAGACTAAAGGAAATAGAAAACTAGTGTGGGAAAGTCTGTTCCATTCTGTAGCAACACTAGTTGTGTTGGGTTTTCAATGAAGGTACCAGCATGTCAGTTCACATTTTTGAAAATATTTAGTTTCTCAAAATAATTCATCCAACTTTCAGATTTTATTTCAGACTATTGCATCTACTACAAAATATTTAGACGATTTTTATTGTGGTTCTGCTGCAACTAGACAGCCCATGATAATGGCAGTAGACACCAAAGGATTTCCTTGCATCTGTTGAACAAATCGGAAAGAAAAATAAAAAAGTTTGTTGAACAATTTATGAGAAGTGCTAATAAGAAATGAAAAATATGAAAATGCATCGAAGCAGAAGCAAGATCAATCCAAGAGGGTCAGTGTTTAGGTTTGGGGCGACAAGAATGATTCATATATGAAAATTTAATATTAATAAAAAATAAAAATTATTGTAATTAATAATAATAATAATTATTATTATTATTATTATTATTATTATTATTATTATTATTATTAGTATTATTATTATAATATTTTTTTTAACTTGATTGGCCACATTGGACCACTTGAGTTGTTCCACTTCACTAATAATTATAATAGTAATAATAATAGTAATATTAATAGAAATAATAATAACCATAATAATAATAATAATATTAAAATGCAAAATATTACAAAAAAATAACTGAAAAGTGTCTGTATCACTAAGATAACAAACACAATGGGATGCAATTTTAGCTTCTTCAATTATGACAGACTTTTCCAAGCATACGCTAGCTCACCAGCATCAACATCTGCCTCCTTGGAAATATTTATTACCCTAGTCTTTTAATAGTAGGAGTCATCTAAACTTGGCCTGTAGAACCAAATCTCAAAAGGGATAACATCTGAACATTAATTCCTCGTACCAATTGAAAGAATTGATAACATAAGAAGTAACACAGTTTTTTTTTAATTTCAACGGAGACAAGGGATGGTAATTTTGTTTGCAGTTATCTCTATCCTTGCCCAGTGTCTTTCTGAAGATACACACTGGTCCTAATTGCTGAAAAGTTAGCCAAAATGTGAAGGAATGGCTTGATTTATTTTAATATTTGTTTTTCAAATATGTAGTTTCGTTTCATCATCATGTTTCAAATAAACACACAAGAGATTTTAATGTGGAAACAAGTAACAAAATCCATAACGACCTAAAAATCCCAATCCCTAATGATGAATAAGAAAAACACTGAACTACATTTGTTCTTTTGTAACCAAGACTGCTACGATAAGAGAGCCTGTAGTGTTTATGATAACAATATCTAGAACCAGAACATTTCACAATTACTACTACTATAACTTACCATTAAACCAATGTGTTTAGAACAGTATTTTAAATTGGACAATTTTGTAAGTGGAACAAGCTAATAGGAAGTTAAGGTTTGAACTGGAGGTGCTACAAATGGCACACACTTTCCCATATTAGTTTTCTATTTCTTTTGGTCGGGGCTAGTTATTTAGACTTGCTATGTACTCATGCCAGCTGCTATCTATCATCGCCCAAAGCAAATTTTTTTGAAAATTTCTCAATTTTTCGATCACAGAAAACTGTTGAGTTTTTGAAAAACTTCATATGACATTGTTTAAAGTACTTGTTCAATATTGTAAACAAATATATTGTACTATAAATTCAATATTGTAAACAAATTGCTGCTAATGTAACTATTAAAGGCGTGAGAGGCAAAAAAAATTACATTTTTGTAATTTTTGAAAAAATAAAAGAATAGAACAATATGATTTTTATGTCATCTTGTAGAGTACGCATGTACTATACGTTCCAAAAGTTGAAAGAATTTATTTGGAGCCGTTTTTGAGAAAATCTTGTTTCTGTTATTTTTTTAAATTGCACGTATTGCAAACAATATTGATTGAAAATTACTGAAAAATTACTGAAATATTGAAAAGACATACATTACCTTAATAAAATGTATTTATTTATTTATTCATTCATTAAATAGGCAATTGCCCAACTACAATACATTACAAAATGTGTAGCTGTAATATCAATTTAATACATTTAAATACTTAATTTTAGCCAATCTAATATTGACAGTTTCTGGCTTAAAAAATAAATTAGTTTCACATTTATTAGCCATTTTACTCATTCACCATGTTGGGGAGTGAAGGACTAAATTGGATTTAACAATAGGTACAAAAAATGTAATTTTATTATCATTTCCAAGTCCTTCGTGATAATAAAGTGGGACAATTAATTTTATTATTTTAACAACTTACAAAAAGAAAAAAAAGAGAGAAAAAAAAGAGCATAGTTTAGGCACAAGTGTTGTTCACATTCACCAGACAGACAAATGTAGCCGTCCATTGATTTTTTGGTAGCAAGAACAAACAAAACATGGATAATGTCTACACTATGTGTTAGAGGTTTGTTTTTTGTTTTCTTCGACATTTAGCAACTGGATTTACCAACTTTTTCTTTGTGTGGCCCAACAGTGAATTTTTTCTGCTAAAAATTTGTGGTTTTTTGGGTAGCTTTACATAACTTTCCCTATACTATGTATATTACTCAGTATATGGAATAATTTAGGAAGATTAAGGAGCAATATAGTGTTAAAAGAAATAAAGTCTGCAGAATTAATGCTTTTAATAAATAAACCTTTAAAATAAAGTAATGTTCTATTTCTAAAACAAGATTCTCAGTAAGTTTTGCAAAATTATAATTCTTCTTTTCAGCAATATACAGTTACAAGTGATGTACGACTCCAGTGCAGAGTTTTGCTCTTGCTGTGTCAGTTAGTTCAACTACGAGTGAATTACTGTCTCTTGGATTCAGATCAGATCTTCATTGGCTTTGTTTTAAAACAATTTGAATTCATCGAAGAAGGACAAATACCGTATGTAATAATGTTTTTTTATGTAAATATAATGCGACTAGTTCATAAGTGATAATAAATATACTTTAAAACACTGAATGTAATTTGGTTCTTAAAGAAAATATTTTGTGGGAACCTAAATTTTATGCCTTTATATTGTGTTTCTAGGTTGGCAGAAGAATTAGTTCCACGTATCTTCTATTTTCTTGTGCATTTGTCATATGAGAAGAATCATTCCAAATGCATTATTGGTGTGCCCAAAGTTATCCAACTATGTGATGGACTGATGGCATCTGGGCAGCCACCTACCACCCATTGTAAGAAATAAGTTGTATAAAATTTATATAAAAGATCTATTTACATGAGGGTTACTTTCAACATTTTGAGGTTCTTCAGAACTACAAGATTCAAACTTCCTATAGGTAACATTAAAAGAGAAATTAAAAAAAAAAGGCAGAATTGGATTAGTATGGTCTCTCTCTTCTATAGCTAAAAGAATATAAAGAAGTTATTCTGCACCTTCACATTGTGATCTCTGTGTTAATGGGGATGTTGACATTCAGTTATCTTTAATAAGAAAATAAAAACATTATATGAACTTGTATGTGCAGGTATCCCCGCGTTAGTTCCTGTTGTGGAAGACGTGTTTTTAGCTCGAGGAAGCCGAAGTGGTGGAGGTACTGACCTTAAGGAACTAGATACTCAACGAGAAGTCCTGGTGTCCATGCTTCTACGCCTTGTTGAATATCACCAGGTGGGATAATTTGGAACTAGATACTTTACTTTGCAATGAAAAACTTGGTTGTGAAATGAGAACTGCAATGTGTTATCATAATTTTCATTTTGTATTACAAGACAAAATTTGTGTAAGGTAATATTGAACATACCATTACTTTTATTGCATTTGAAAGGACAAGATATTTAATTAGATGAAGTACCTCAATATTGTTGGCACATTGGGGATAGTATTACAAACACACTTGATGTATTCTGACAGGTATTGGATCTCCTCAGTGCTGTTCTTAGTGAACGTGAGAGTGAGGAACGATGGCGACGATGGTCCCGACAGGTAATTGATGCACTGTTACCATTGCTAGCTCAAGGACGTGTACGACTGGAATCACGAGCTGCCCAACAGGCTCTTCATCGATTGCTGGCTGCCTGTGCACCAAGTGTGTTGCGACCAGCAGATCCACTCCTAAGAGTTCTCTTTGCGACTCCTCCTAGTTTGGTAAGTAAAAATTCTTGTATTATTCTTAAGAATTCTGAAATAAAATAATTGTGAAATACTTGTGAAAGTGTTTTTGGAAAGATCATAAAAGGATTTTGGCAAGGGCATCGGGAAATGCCATTACAGCAATTCTTACTTGAAGGTTCTTGTGTTTGAATCCTGTCTATGGTAGATTTTCAACTCCAGTTTTCACAATACCTAGATCAAATACAGCAGCTGTCTGGAGGAGAATTCTAGTGCTTGGTGGTTTTCCATGAGTAGTTTTCTCTGATCAATACCAGGTGAATGTCACTGCAGCACATTCACCTGGTATTGATCAAACCTGGTATCATATGGTATTGGTAATGATGCAAACAAGTCATGGACCACGTGTTATGTTTTCTTCCTCATCTTTTTTTTCTCCGATCTCCTTTCACATAAAAAACCCTTACATGCACTATACTATCACACATGTTAGAGGGACCAATTGGGAACTTAAAGTTTGTCCCGGCTGGTGGAGATTCCTAGAGAGGGGAAATCTTGCAAGCAGTCTTGTAGGGTGGCCCCAGATCTCACATTCCAGCAAAAGAGGAGAACCACAATTTCCTAGGGAATAACATGCATTACACTTATGGGACTAATAAGCACAGCAATTGATGCATCTGAAAACAAAGTAATCAATCAGTCAGTCATCAGAAAACAAATACAGTGAAACCTCTCTGAAAGACCATACCTCTCAGTGATTGATTTTTCTTGGAACAGTCACTGAAACCCATACGGTATACGTAAATTATATCCCTATTAACAGACTACCCCTCTCCTAACCACCACCAACCTTATTAAAACTGTAATTTTCTCAATTTACCCTATTCAAGAGATCACATTAGGTAAATTGTAAATATATGTTGTATCAAATTTTCAGTAGTTAGAATGAAAACTGGCAAAAAGAATAAGCAAATGTCCTGTACCTCAGCTTAATTCTTGAGGAATCGAAGAGCAGAGGGATTTCAGGAATCAAATAATATGGTCACTAATATATTATCATGGCTTCTCGCCCCATTTCAGTTTCACTTCTTCTAATGAGATGATGCCAAGGAAAGTGGCATAATGCTTAATTCTTTAAATTAAAAGAGCTCTCCTTACCTTATCTTCTTCAAAGAATATCTAGTGTGCTTGAATATCACTGTGGGAAGGTAGGGTTATGAACTTGCCCCATAATGCGTGAGTGTTTGGCTTGTGACCGGTTCTGAGCCCAATTGCTGAATGTTTGTTTATTTTCTCATAATGTATGTATATACAGAGTAATAAACATATTATAGGTATGTAATGTAAGGTATGTAATGCTGCAGAAAATCAATTTTGAGATTGCAATTGAAATACATGGTTTTTCTAAAACACCTGTCTACATATCCATCTGACTGTGAAGAACACTCAATAATTTGTATCAGGGTCTCCTACTGAATGTTTCTTATTTTCTAAATTGTTTGTAAATAATTGTGTGAAACCAATAAAAAAATGTATTTCCAGCATAGCTCAATCGTGGCCATTCAGAGATGGCTTGGTGCTGTATTAGGAGTTTTGCTGTTGCTGCTGGCACAAGGCAAAGAGGAAACAGTTCTTGCTCGGCTTGAAGAATTGGATCTTCCTTTGCCACCATCACCTACTTTAGGTTCCCCTGATCCCTTGAATGCCCGGAGCATAACTGCTCCTGGGCAAAAATTACCTCCAGAGCAGCTGATGGCAAGGCAAGTATATTACTTGCTTATTTATGTATTTATTGTATTACTTGTTATATCAAAAACAGTAAATCAGTTTACTTCCTATACACTGCAGGGGAGGAATAGAGGGATAATATTCACGTGCTTTATTTGTTTGAAATAAAATGTAGTGTAACGAGAGATGTTTACAAGAAATAATTTCGAAGTTCAATGAATCTAATTTTATAATAAATTTTGTACTACAGTATCAGATGCCAATTTAATTGAGCGTTAAGTTTTAAGTTGTGCTGTTAATGTTTTCTTAATATAGCATTAGATTCATTGGACTTCAGTTAGTTTTATATGTTTAATTAAAATGCGTGCTTATCAACTATAGTTAATGTCTTAAATTCCTAAAAGGGAATGGTTTAAATCTATTTAAAGGTGATGTATTGTTAATTTTTTATTCTCCTTCTGCCTTTGTTAAAGGTTCCTGTTGAGAGTAATTGGTCTGGTCAGTCATCAGATACATAATGCTGTGTTGAATCCTACTCCTAATTCAGATTGGCACTATCTTCATGAACAATTTTCTAATTTCATGCTGTACTGTATTTATATGTTTGAGTCAGGTATGTGAAACTTATCATTAATGAATTTAATGGTTATTTATGCACCAAGTTTGTTAGATCTTGCTAATGCACTAAGATTGTTAGAACCATTAACACCTGGGGTACACACATAATTTTATTGATTCACATTCACTTATTAACTAATGTTAACTTGACTCGGTTTGTCTTTTCATATTTCCCTCTCATAATTCCCTTTCATAATCCTCTCGTAATTTCCTCCATAAGAGAGCATGTAGTATCATTCAACTGTTTTCATATTTCCCTCATAATCACAATTCTTTTAATCCAGGTAAGTTATGCAGTGAATATCGAGCTCCATATCAAAGGCAATAACAAGCTATGTATCAGTAAAAAATGAAATGAATAATATTGTAAATACATTAAAGTGTAACTATATTTCTCAAAAGCTGGTGCAAAAAGAAATAGTAGAATTTTGGCTTTCTTGTACTTTCAAGTATGGAAATGTTTACAATATTAAACTTTGGGAAGGAAAATGTGTCTAACCTTATCTTGAAGAAAATATTGATGTTTCATCTTAAGGGTGCAATTCTAAAAAAGAATAGTAGAATCAAATTAGATCCTCAAAGTTACAATTATGTATCTTTTTCGGACCTCGAAGATATTCTCTTTTTTTCATAGAAGGATATTGGTTTCATTTTGAACATACAAATTAATAAAACTTATTTCAGTAATTGTAAGAGGAAAATCATTACGTTAAGGAAGAGTCATTGATGTTTGTTTCTCTTGCTTTCAGGAAGTTACTGCCGTGTGGCTACAGCTGCAATACAGATGTTAAGAGGGGAAAGTTGTAAAGATAGTATGGAGGCTCTTGATACATCTGAAGATCGGGTTCCGGTAGTGCCCCTACCTGTTGAGAATATCAATTCTCTCTTCTATGCATTGGCTCCTCGCTGTCCAATGTTAACTGTACAGTGGTGCTATCTTTTGGCATTACTAGGTTACAACAATCAAAGCTTTTGGGCATCCATTATGCGTACACAACCAGCTCATCCTATACTCGGACAAGGGTGAGTGTATTCTTTTTCATTTTCGCACTGTTAATGAAAGAGAAATTAATGTGTGTATGTTTCAGATAGGTTAAAATTTTTAAATGAACAATGTGTTATTTCTGCTAGGTTACCCAATGAAGATGAGAGTGGCCCTTCACCTTGTGTGAATTTAGAAGTAGTTAGAAAAGGCGGCACAATCCTTTTTTGTGACTATGTGGTATGATGTCCTTTTATTTTTTGTAATAAGGCAATAGTTTGTCCAAAAGTCCAGATTTATTTTAGTTGTTTAATACATACACTCTGAAACTTAACAATTATATATATGAATATTGTTTTAGAAAACTCAAGAGTTTTTGCAGTATTTTAATTACAGAAATAATTATGACTTTCTGCTACCTTTAATGAGTCATCTTTATTTGTATTTGTTGTTTAGTGTGAAAATCTTAGTGATGCTCAGCAGTTAACATGGCTTCTTGTGAACCACATTGAAGAAGTTGTACGCTTGTCAATTGAGCCTCCTGTACATGAACTTGTGGCCGCTGTGAATCGTTCAAGTGCCGCTAGTGGGCTTCTTGTACAGGCTGTAGCTGCTCGTTGTCAAAACCTCTTACAAGTGAGTGAAAATCTGAATTTGAAGTAATATTTCGTTATATGAGTAATTAAGGTGCTTCTTGGCAAAATTAAAATTTTGCTCTTATAACACAAAAGATTTAATGGGAAGATTGTTGTTTGGGTAAATGTAATGATAGGCTTCTAAAGACCAAAAAGTGACAAATTGTAATAATTCTGTAATTACCCTTTTTGAGCTTTTGTCTTTTAAAAATATATATTTATGTTTATATTTACTATTGATTTTTTAGACTTAACAATGAGTTTATTGTTTATTAATTTTATTTATCATCAACAATAGAAAGAGATCTAGACTAGAGATAGATTATTATGAGATGTTTTGTTTGTTCATTTTATACATTTGGATTTCAGCCAAGTTTTGCAGTGCAATTATTGCGTTGCCTTCAAAGTGTACATCCATCTCAGAGTGGTGCGTTACTGACATTTTTGGTGCCAAGGCTTTTGGCTCATCCCCATGTGGCTGTAGCTCGACTGGCTGCCTCTTTAGCTTGTCGAAGGGCTGAGCTTTTGCTCACACTTAGCCCTGAAGAGGTTACATCTCAGTTGGGCAGGGACGACTTGCAAGCTCTTGTTGTGGCTCTTAATGCTGCCCAGCTTGCTAATAAGTAAGTTTTATTGATATTTTCATAAGGTACATGCATTAACATCAGTGGGACTAAGATCTCCCAGAACATTTTAACCCTTCGCATACCAGGTTCTAAATGTAACCCCAAATACCAAGCAGGGTACATGTGTACTCCACATGAATGTTATGCAAGGTTGATCTGAAATAGCATGTAACTAACTCTCTTATGAACATTTTGACCAGTTAATATGTAATAAAAGTCAAATTTAATAGAATTAGTCAACTTTTATTACTGTTTTTCTTTTAATAGACTATGATACTTCATCAGAATACCTCTTTTAAGATCATTCCTGTTGTAGGGTATTTATGTGTACTTTTATTGTTTTAGTGTCAGAATGTTTATTACATTACAGTAGGACAACATCTTGTCCTACTCTCTGTTTCTCGCACATAGTGTTCGTCTTCCATCTCAGACTGATGAAGAACATTCAGGAAGTGCAGAGCTCACTGTTTCCTCTTCAAGCAAACATTTCATTGCAGTCTGTAATGTGCTTTCAGTCAATTTTTATTTTTTTTATTTTTTATTCTCAGTTCAACTTAAGTTTCGATAAGTTCTTGCCCCAGCTCCAACATAAATGTTCTCTTTTTACAACATTCTATCCGTTATAAGTTGCCTCAACATTATCCTTTGGAATGCAGAATACACAAACTAGGAACATTCATTTCCTTGTACAAACAGACTGACACGATGTTTCAAATGTGTAACTGGAAACTAGCTGACAATTCAATAATTCCACTTTCATTTGAATCAAAAGATTAACGTGCTAATCTAAAGTATAATGTTGAAAATGATTCATAGGAATAAAAATTGATGATGCGAAATACCAAGCAGGGTACAAATGCCCCCCAAGGCTTGTTTTTATGTAGTACACATAAAACACCTTAAAACCATTACATTCTTTAATACGTCATTGTCAATTGAAGTATTTCAGGCAATATAATGATATCTCAATATCTTTTTATAATGCAACATGCATGACTAGAAAAAAGTGAGATTGGGGTACACATGCACTCTGCTAGGTATGTAGAGTGTTAAAGAACTCTCAAAACACCATGTGTAATGATACATTATGAAACATATGTAATTATGGAACTAACTTATAATGTTATATTTAGAGTAAAGATTTTTTAGAAAGCCTATAACAATTTTAAAAACATGTTTAAAAGTTCTTACTGAGTTGCATACATTATTTTTATGGGAAAACTTAGAAAAGTAATACCAGGAAAAATTATAAATGGAATGCAAACACTTAAGACTCAAATATCACTACAAAAGTGAACAAAACACAAAATCACTCACTGAGGACAAAGACAGGAATATGGCCTATCAGCCAGCGTTTACAACATGATAATAAACATATTAAAGAGTAGAAGAAGTTAACAAAGGAAGGGAGCTCTACAAAAAAAATTAATGCGAACTATCTTGTTGTATATGATCAAACAAAATCAGCAGAAAATGAACTGCTGAGTGCAGCCCATGAATTAAACAAAATACCAAAGACTTGAGATATGAACATCTTCATGATGAAATCCTAAGTGATGGCCTTCTTAGGAAAACAAGCTAAGTGGAGATTGAGGGTCTAATAGAACAATAAGTTCCAATATTCAGTCTTCAAGATTAGACAAAATTGTCAAGATATGCAACACCAAAAGTTTTGAAATGCAATAAAATAAATGGAGTAATCAAAAGACAAATCAGAAGAGAGATGGCATAAGAAACTAATATGACAGCCAGGTCAGTGCTGTTTTAGGACTCAGCAACCTGGATCTTGAAACTGAGGAATAACTAAAGGCTGGATGCTGCAGGAGAACATCTTTAATACCAAGTAAAGAAATTAACTTAAAAGTCATTCCCAACTGGATGAATGTTAAATTAAAATGTATCAAAATATGTTCTGCTTTTAAATATTGATTTTATATTTTTTTATTGATGTAAGTTTAGGTAGACTAATGCATATCTAAAAATATTAGTTATTGTATTTATGTATTGTCATAGCATTGATTATATAAAGAATACTGTTATTGATGTACTTAGTTGCCACTGCCATTAAATGGGGAAGTGCTTGTAAATCTAGCGTTGTAAATTATGAGGTACATCCAGAAAGTATGTTTCCCCAGGTCATTAACAAAAAGAAAATCTCAATTCATGAAAAAATTTTCATGAAGCAGATACAGCACATGTTGCAGTATTCTTCCACATAATCACCAGAACTGAGACATATATTGTATTGTGGAATCATCATTTTTATTCTGGTATTGTAAAAGTCTACCACCTTAATACCAATGTTTGACAGCCACCTGCAACTCTGTGTCTATGTTACTTGTAATGCTGACCAGACAAGGTCTGTTGTGCGTCGATTTGTATGTGACCACCTCTACGGCCATCCAAAAGTATAGGTCTTGTCCCCAGTGAATATCTCTTATACCTCAAGAAACAAGTACCTGGATTGAATTACTGCCAGAGGTAAACACTAAACAGTGACAATGTTGAATATTAGGCAGTGAAAGATGTGATAACCAACCAGTGTCTTAATTTTTTTACTTGATTTTTTTCTTTAAAGGAAAATAACTAGGAAAAACGTATCCTTACGAGAAAAGTTATTCTTACTTGTATGAAACCATTAGGGATAGGTATTTCAGAAATAAAAAAAAACTTACACAAAATGTTCTTCTCCCTCCCATATTTCATGTAGTTTTTAACTGCTTTTTATGTTAAATGAATGTATAAATAAATACAGTGCAACTATTAACTCTTCAGGCAATCAATGCTTATAATGTGATCTTTTTGACTAATCGAGAAATTCACAGCTAAAATTACCCAAGAGTGTGTAATGGAACAACAAATAGGACTCTTAGCTGATCTCATGGTCATTTCTCTCAGATCAAGACCCTCAGTTTGTGGCTTGTAAAGGTGTTTCAAGGGATTGGATATTGCCTGAAGTGGACCTTCACAACAGCACAATGAAAATTCACAAATTTTAAACGGTTAATACTTTCTACAAAACTTCCTTATTTACACCATTCTGTTTCATCAATTCTTTTAACAATTCAACATTTTCATTCTGAGTTGAATTCTTAATAAGGAATACCAGTCACTTAGTAGAAAAAATAATCCTGAAGTACTTCTTTAAAATGTACCTTTTCAGTGGACCCTGCAGAGGGTTAATGTTTGATACATTTGTGTTGGTTTCTTTCGTGAAACTGGCATTATAAGACCTTTAAGTAACAACAAATTCATTACAGTACCTTTTTTGGTGAACACCATTTAGTTTTACCAATGGATGGTAATATTACACTGACAATTAACAAGTTTAAATCATTTTACATTTATTTTATAGGCTTTGTTGTTTTGTATGAAATTCTTATGCTCTGAAATTTGTTCTACAGACACAGTGGTCTGCTAGGTGTTTTAACTAGACTTGGAGCATCTGGGCAGGATCCTTCACCTCCTGTGCTTGATCCTGATAATTTACGAACGTTGCACTTAGACAAAGAGTGGTTTCTTGCACAGGTAAAATTGAGGTGAGTATGATAACGAAGCTTTTGAGTCCTAATTCATTGATGATTATTTATGTGTTATCTAAAATGTACAGTGAACTTCATTTATATGTTTTAAACTTATACATTTTTCATGTCTATATGATTGTTTGTTTTTGAAGTCTCATATAAATTCATTTACTTCTCATGCTAAATTATTTCAAATATGCATTTTAAATTTATTTGTTTTTCACATTTACACATTCTTAATGAAAGTCCATTTAAGACCATGTAATGTTGAAATGATAACAACATAGGTGGCCAATAAGTGAGAACATTACGAAATTGAAGAGGGGCCTAAGGAATTTTTGTGTTCAGTCTATTATTGAGGTTTAATTTTGTCGCAACTCAGAGTGATTCTACTGGTTTTAACTCTCTATTTGGGAATTTTAGACAAAACTACAGGATGAATAAATAGGGGTGCTAGTGTCCTTTGGGCAGCGTTGCATAATGTTCACCAACATTGCTTAATAAAAATTTGGTGCAGTTAAAGAAAGTATTGAAACTCTAGGAACTCTAAAGATTTATAATGTAATTTCAAAAACAGACTGGCAAGTTCATAAATCATGGGTGTGTTGTTGATGGACGAGAAGAATGGAAGTCCTTGTCTAAGAGAAGGGAACGGTGCATTTAGGTGTAATGTGCAAAACATACAGAGGGGACACAGCATGGGTAGGTATTGGTAGATGATTACAGAAACCAGATTATAAAAGCAGAGGAGACCATCCCTGGAAAATACAATGTAGAAAACAGAGAACTGATGTATTCAACTTGTGTTTTGTGAATCGCACTATAGTGAGTTGGAACAAACTACCTGCAACAGCACTAGAGGCTCATCCTTCTAATGTAGTCATATTTAAAAATATGCTTAATTCCATCTAGATTGTCACTAATAATACTGAGCCATTTATCTTTTTATTATTATTATTATTATTATTATTATTATTATTATTATTATTATTATTATTATTATTACAGCCATGTTCCTTAAACAGTGAAGTGTACTGTAGTAGAGGAGTGTGTAATGTAGTGTGGTGAAGAGGAGTGCAGTGCAGTGTAGTGTAGTGAAGTATTAGATAAACTAGAAGTCAATTAAGAGATAATTAGAAATTAATTAGAACTAGGATATCAACTTCTAATTCTAATTGTAAATATTTTTAATTGTTCTAATTGTAATTTTAATCATCACATGTTTTATAAGTAACAAGTAATGTACTTTAGTTTCCAATCTCGATCAGATTTTTGTTCAATTTCCCTTATCCATTGAGCAAATGCTGAGATGGCCTCTTCTTTTGCTTCATCACATAAATTAGCTTCAATGTGTGCATGTTTTCTTGAGTTCCTCTATTGCAAATAGTGAAGTAGAGCTGAGGGGTGTAGCTATTTTGTTAGCAATACAAAAAACAAATAAAATATGCAATTTGTTTACTGATGCAAATAAGTTTACTATCACTCAGGAGCAAAAATGTTTAGTTTTCAGAAGTTGCTAGCTTTGCTTTTTTGGAAACTTTTATTCATAAGTCAACTATTCGTAGTTAAAATGTTGGAAAAAGGAAAAAGATTCTGGTGCTCAAGAAAATGGACGCTGGCAGTGTTTCTCCCCCACATGTCATGACTCCCCACAGGTTTTACTGTTCTTTGACTAAATAAATCAAATCAAATAAATCGAAAGCAATGTTGGTAGCAGTTTGTGTGAGCAGGTCCAAGAGTAGAGCAATGTAAATATGTGAGTTTTTGTTTTGCACATAATATTCAATTTTAGTTATATATTTTCCTCACTTACACATTATTTCCCTTCAGTCCCCTGAGAAACATATAATTGAAGTTTTACTGTATATAGGTAGTAGACTTGTAACTACTTTTTAATTCAAAACTGTGATTTCCCCTCTTATTTTAGTCCTTTTACATCAAATGATATATATTATCAATAGTTTTTGGGTTTTATTTCTTTACATATTGGGTTTATAGATGCTGTCATAAAAATATTTCTGGAGCAGAGTCAGCTCAATTACTTAGCAAGCTTGAATATGATGATATACTCGGAGTTCTGCATTGTCCAGATTTCAATACTGTGTTGTTGAGAGATTGTATCCAACTTGGTACACTGCTTACTCTTCAGGTATGTACGTAATGGTCAACAAGTTTTTAGAATTTACTTTTGCTGATTATTTTTTTGTTAAAACCCCCCCTTTTTTTTTCTTCTTCTTCTTTTTTTTAGGCATATCAAAGTTTGCCTGAACCTAAAGCAAGTTACTCTAATGAAAACTATTTAGAAATTCAGCAAAAAACAACAGCTCTTGAATCTCCTTTATATACTGCCGCACGCCTTTGTTTGCTAGAACAGGTTGCAAATATCTGCTCTTTAATGCCACGACCACACCAGGTAAGCTTCAGTAAAAAATAAACTTCATAGTAATGAGATTGTAAACTTAATTTTCCAATTTTTTGATATGTGCATATTATCAAAATAATTTTTGAATAAAGGGAATCGTTTAGAATGGAAATAAGTTATGATTTGCTTTTTATAAAATGTGTGCTAATAATCATCTTTCTGAATGAATAATTTATTAAATTGCTGAAATATAGGCAAGGTACTTTCATTTGCGAATTGTTATAGGAGGTAATATTTATTAAAAATCAATTGTTAAAAATAATTTCTGTTAATTTTTAATTTAACTACTACTCTTAGTATGCACATGAGAAAGGTCAATATGATTATATGATATATCATTTTTTTTAAATTTTTTAGTGAGACTTCATACAGGGGACCATCATTTTTCCTTGGTTTTATTAAATGGAGTCTGTTTCATAATAAACATGATTAAATAAATGAAATGATAAAAAAATGACTTAGGACTCGAACGCGCAATTTCAGAATGACCATTCATTGAATATATTTTATTTGTGAATTCATTTTGAATGGTTTCAGGAAATGAGAACAAATTAGAAAAGAAATAATATAGTAATAATAGAATAGTTGTAGTAGTAATAACAATAATAATATTAGTAGTAATAAAAATTATAATAATAGTAATAATAATCTAAAAAATATAACCAATTATTCTGCAAATAAATTGTAATGTTAATAACTGTTAGTTGTACCAAATGTCTTTGGGCTTGAAGTTTGAGAGACATTTGGTTTCCTAGTGACATGCAATAGCAACAGCTTTCCTAGGAATGTTATCTTCCCTTATGGCCACAAACTCAGAATAATTCTGAGTTTTTTATTAATAAATTATAAGTTTGTTATTAATTATTAATGAATGAAGGAGCTAGAGCATTGTACTAACTGAGTGATCTGTCATGTATTGATGACACTTAACATCACATCAATGTGATGCAATTCCTCAATTTTTGGAGAATCATGGTTATAGTTTCATTTCCATCATGTACAAAAACATGTTTTCCTCATCCTGTAAACATTTATGCTACTTTCACACAAGTTATAATCAAGCACCAGAAAACGTTGAATTTTCGTCTGAAAAACTTTTATTGCCAGGTTCTGGGAATATAAAAGTGGGTAAATACTATTGCTAAATATAGAAAAAATTTCCTCTAACACATGGCGTAGCCAGAATCCATGTTTTGTGGGTCCTTGATATCGAAAAATGGATTGACCTCAAAACATCTGTCTGTCTGTCTGTGGTTAGCTGATCAGTGTTCAGCTGATTTTATTCAAAAATTGATATTCCCCAATCGATCTGAATAAACTCAAGGCTTTGGGAGTTTCAAATTGATTTTTTTTTAGTGTACTTTACATGGAGCATCAAACATTTGCAAAATATTTTTAAAAAGGTACCAAATTTTTTTATCAAACTTTGTTTTGGGGTAGCATAGAGGAAGCTTAAGACAGTGGTGGGTGCAGGTCTCATGTTTGTTGAAATCCCAGATTTTTTGAATACTGCAAAATGGCAATTTTTTTTAGCATCTTTTTCAACTATAATTTTAAAGATAGAAATTTTTTTTAATGAAATCTGTTCCTTCAAGAAGGAACTTTAAATATGTTAAATTTTTTGAAAATATGAGTAGTTTTTGTGTAATTTGTCATGAATGTAGATAATTCAAAAACAGTTTTTACAGTTTCTTTATTCAGGTAGTTAACATTACTGGTACTATAACATTTTTTGAACTTTAATTTTCTCAACCCCCCCCCAAAAAAAATCATTTTTTCCCCTACAGAATTGATGGTTAAAAGAGTGGTGTGGGTGTTGAACTTTCTGGATTTTTTTGAAAATTCCAAATTTAGAAATAATGTGAGAAAGTATGTGCTGATTAGCTGCCCTAGTTTCATATTTAAGGTTACTTTTCAACTGTTATTGTCGTATACCACTGTAATTTAACAGTTGTTTTACAACTTTAGGCTAACACTAGGGAAATATGCATAGTGACACATACAAACATTCACGTCAGGGGTCAGATTGCTTGAAGTCAATGCCACTACAGCCCTTCATCCTTAGTGACCTCAGTTATCCAGGCCAGCCTTATATATTTTGTCTTGTGAATTTTGCAAAATTTTTGCTGCATCAATATGAACATAAATTATTTTCATCTCTAATAATAGATCTGAGCCTTTTCCACTATTCTGATTTAAAAACACTTTTCTAATAAGTACCACGTGGGCTACCCTCGCCAGTTTGCATGCATGTAACCTATTCCACTCTATTTAAGTACAACTTGATAATGTAAAATTCTAATGTATGTATTTTATTTTATTTTATGTATGTATTTGTCAGCCTAGAATTATTAGAAGTTGTATCATTGAGGTACAGTATCAATAGGTATTTGTAATATTTCATAAAATAATAAGTTTGCGTAGATTCACGTAATTTTTATTATGTACTTATAATTTAGAAACTGAATATAAGCAAAATTAGCCTTTGTTCTAGTAATATTTAAAGATTTTAGTTTTCAGAGTGTTTGTGTTAAAAGTACCTTTTTATTACTGACATTTGAACATTGTTTCAAATATTGCAATGTCACTTATTTGATCTTTTTACATCTGTTCATGTTAAGACTGTCATTGCTCTTCTCAATTCATTACAGCTCTGATTATAACAAGCATGATTATGAACTTGGTTTTTTAAATAGGTTTTCTGCCCTGTGGGGCGTCCCCCTACTCCAAAGGAAGCAAAATATGCATCACGTTTGCAGCAACTATTAGGAGACAAAAATTTTATGGTGCAGCTATTTGAAACAACTCCGGCTGTAACTTGCTATTTAACATCTCTTCCCACTTTGGCGTGGGGTGGTACCTGGCCTCCTGTACCTCCCAATGCCTGTGAAGATCTCGCCAAATTTGGTGTATTATGTTTAGAGGTAGATATATTTTTAATGGGAGGAGCTTTGTTTATGATTCTGATAAAACATACAAAATAAACTGCAAATGGTTCTAAATTTTCTTGGTATAAATATTGCTAGAGGTAGAAATTAATAAATATTAGAGTTTTCTTTATAACCTTTTATTATTACTACCTCTTTTCTCCATTTTTTAATTATTCATACATTCATGTTATTTTATTTCCATTTCATTATTTCTTGTCTTTATTACGTTATTTTCTTCTTCTTTTGAGAGAATTACCCAAGTACAACAAGGAGTTTGTTTTCCTTAGATCATTCATGGGTTGGTTCGAAATGCACAAGAAAATCCTAGTGAAGCATTACTGCCCCATCATCTTGAGCAGTGCTTGGCATGTGCAGAAGCAAATCTGAGGGAACCAAATCTTTCTGCAGTACTTGGTATGCCCAATAATGTGACATGGATGACTTCTGCTGTGGGTGCCCTCACTAGCACTATTGATTATCTTCTGGAAGGAGAATCTCTTCCAGATCTTCCTGCCCATGGTATGTTCAGAATATTTATTATGTACATATTAATACATTGGATGCATAAATAATTAGTAATGTGTTAATGATCTTAGTAATTCGTTCATATCAATGGCCAGAGAAATAGAAATTACCTATAGATATCAATGGCTCCTGCATTTCTTTCAAAATCATTTTGTACCTTCTTTAACCACTTAATACTCCACCTTTGCTCAACTAACAACTGTTTAATTCAATTGTACAGAACTCTTTCTAACAATAGAAGAAAATATATTTTCAGTTTTCCAATTTGTGAAATTTTGAATTATTTGATTATTTTTCATTCAAGACCATTCTCTTTTCTAAATATACTGTACATACTTCTGTTAAGGGTTGTTTCCTGCATCTCATTCTGTTTTTCACTTTCTGTTTGTCATGTATTGATCTGAAGCAAGAGGAACTTGTTTCCACAAAAGCTTAGTAAACCAATTTTAAACAAATATTTTGTATTGTATCAAAACTTTTAAGGAAAGATGTCGTCTAGGGACAATTTATGAGACTCCATTAGCACAAAACACTAAATTTAATATTGCCTCTATTTTCTTCAAAGAGATTTAAGGCAAGAAAAGTAGAATTGTGTAGAAATAAAGAGAAATGCAGAATTGTTTACAAATGTAGATTTTGTAGAAAATTTTGTTAAAAAATGTCTGTGAGCACACTTGAAAGAAATGAGTTCCCGTCATGCGTTACTTAGAAACAGTGAGCCATCATTGGTTTTGGATCCCTGTAAGAGGCCTGAGTTACATTTCTTAGGCCTTAAACTGCAAAATAAACCTTCAATTATAATTTTGGAGGTTTGGCTTTTTGGAGTATTTCTACTCCATAGTAATAGACACAAACCTTCAGAATCTTAAACTATCTGTAAAATTAAATTGACAGTTTGCTTTTCAGTGCAATTCAACTGCACAAGTCTATGACTTTTTGTTTGTTAATCAACAATTAGCAATATTAAAACATTAACACACAGTACCAGGTTTATATAATGTTACACAGTTCAAGTTCATAAAGTTGTTTTTTGGCTCATGAATCGGTCATTTAGGGCCACTCAAATATGCAACAGTACCCACTGAGACCAAGACATATTTTCCTGGGGGTAAATGCATGTGGTTTTTTGGGGGGAAATCAGCATTTCTATGCTGAATCCATTTTAACACCTCAAGGTTGTTAGCCCTGGCAGGATGAGGTTTGAAATGATGATGATGAGGGATGAATGGACAATTACAAACATACAGACACACATAAACATCCATGCCCTGGGCAGGATTTGAACCCGTGACCCTTCAGACACAGGCAGCTATGGCTCTTCAGCCTTAACGACCTCGGCTGTCCTGGCCAGCCAAACGGTACATTATTACAATATTATTAATTTCATTAAAATATTAATTTGATAACACAATAGATACATATATTAACCTTTATTTACAAGAAATATCAAATTTTGCCTAGGTCTTAAAAGAGCAATGGAGGATCCAGAAACTGTGTGCTCAGCTCATGCTTGTCACCAAATGGCGATACTGGTTCTGTGGCTTGAGAAGACACAGAATAAAGGACATAATATTCCTGCTTTTCTAGCTTCTACAATGAAGTAAGTATTTTGTGTAATTGTAAAAGGTTAATTAATATTATACATACATACATATACATATATATATATA